GGAGAAAATATAGCATCTATAAAGTCTGTTCCATCTCTATATTTGAAAACGTTCAGAATTATGAGAAACCGCGAAATACGTGTTCAATCATTTTGAGAGGCTATTCTTTTAAGAGGGTTAAAGAGGTTGAGTATTCCAATTTAAAAATTTCAAATGGGACCTCCCATTGTAGCGTATCGTTTGAAAGGATATAAACAAAAAGATTTTAAAAGAAAAAAAAATTTGTTTAAATGAACACTTTTATACGAATATTTTTCTAGGATTTTCCGATAAGAATAACGATTTTTCGAAAATTGATCTTTTTTAAACTTTGACCCTAAATAACTCCGGAGAAATCAAAGTCAACGTATCAACCTCCGCTTTGAATCAAAACTTTTTTTTTCAAATGATGTACTACAATATGGAGGGGAGGGTTCCATATGTAAAATTTTTTAATTGAGGAGGACAATCTCCCCTTAAAAGAATAGCCTCTTGAAATGATCAGATACGTATTTCGCAATTTTTCATAATTTTGAACCATTTTCAAAATATAGGAATGGGAACAGATTTGATAGACATTCTGTATATACATACATACATACATGAAGAAATACGACAACTGATCGCGCAAGCGGGAACAGCAACCCATTTCCATGAGGACGCAACAAACTATATGTCTCACTGAAAAATATAATCTACGCTAGTACGTGAAAAGAGAAGCTATTAAATCTATAACAACTCAGTGTTTCTCCAATCGTATTTGCCTTTCACGCTCTATTAAATAAAAAACTGCAATTTCGCACAGATAATCGTAGATAATTATAAAAAAAAGCGTTATGATTCTCCATCTGCCATATATTAATAATATTACTATCTATCTGGTTTTTATTCTAATAGAATAGAGAATTAGTAATCGAAAAACTTACAATTAGTGAAAGAGAAGCCCATTGCGATTGCCAAAAATTTCCCAAAAAAATAAAAACTGCTCGAATGTATTTTATTCCGTACATACAAAAGCACTCAGTTTGCTTTTGTATGTATTTATACGAATATCACATATAATATTCGTATAAATGCCAACGGTGGTGCTCAAATTATATGAGAATTGATCGTTCGTTGGGATAAGACTCAATGAAATCTCCTCGATCCATAGATAATTACGAAATATGGCATATGTGCTAATCTTAAGTATCATAAAACAGATTTTATTTCCGCATTAATCCGTACGCGCGGTGTTCACATTAACCCATCACTACCGGGACGTTTAGGGGTGATTCATTTTACAATTAAACACAGTTAGGTTTAACTTTGCGAGCCATTAAGCTCTCGCGTAGCTCTTTCTCTGATAATATATCATTTTTACTGCTGATAAGCATGCAGCAGGACGTGCAATTTGGACGACACTGTTCGAGAACTGCATTAACTGTAGTTGCTACTGGAAACTCCTATCTTCCAGTATTTTCCCTTTCTCCTTTCATCCCCGTCTCCCTTTACCCTTATATTCCCTTATATTCCACCAACAGAGAAGACTCTCCAGCGTGTATATATAAGTTATTATTTGAACGTCCACTTCCATTATTGGTCATATGTAGTCAGCATGTATGAACAATAAATACATCTCGAGATTAAACAAAATTCTATATGTAAATGTTAAATCAGAATTACACATCTGTCTTTGCGTCCCTCCGTGAACAACTTTTTCTTCTTGTTACGCTTATTCTCTATTTTGTAATACTACTACTTCGCTTTGAAGTTTGAGCAGAATTTTAAATTCTTAATTTTTAAATATAAATTATATTTATTTAGAATTAACCGATGATGTCGATGTTAATCTTCAAGATCAACAGCACATACGAAAAATATTTGAAAAGTTAAAATTCAAAATTTCGCATTACACCTGTGGATTTCATTACATTCTCCTTCCTCATCTCGTATTTTCCTTCCAACGTAACTTTAATTTCTCTTTTTTCATCCACCAGAGTTTATGATTAAAAAGTCTTTACATACATAAATCGCAAAACTTAATATCTGAAAAGAAAGATATACTACCTTTTTCGCTCTTAAACGGAGAAGCATGGACTACCGTGGTACGATAAAAAGTATAGGATATCGTAAAAAGTCATGCGAAGGAATTAGCTCCCTTTAGCGTTACGTTATAAAAACGCAAAGCGGCATGAGAGAAAAGAAGTGCGATGTGGATTCGAAATTTTCAATCTCTAAAGTCGGGACTTCACGTGAGACTCGAGCAGCGAGAAGATGTATAATAACTCGCGCGTACGTTAGCACAGTGTCGCTGTGGATGCTGCGTCTCTGCCGCGCTGGACCACGAAAAGAGTGTGCTTTAAAAGAGTAATCTGCGTACGGAACGGTGTATAAACGAGTACCAAACTGTCGACAATAATCTCAGTCGGAACATGAGCTCGACGAAGGGGAGCACGTAAGTGCCGCGAAAATCCGTTTGCGATGCGGTAAACGCCGTACCAAAACGCATTGAATAAAATTCCGAGATATCGTATATCTACGTATGGACCGCGACGTGGTGCGGCGAAATTTACGACTTCTTTCCTCTGGTACGTGCAACAGCCGTATAAACGAGCCTGCACCGCTGAATCTTCGTTACAAGAAATATGAACTTCGCAGGAATGCTACACGACTCCTTGTGAATTATCTCTCTCTCTCTCAACAAAATTTAGACCGCAACATGTGTCGCTTAAAATAAATCAGTCTTTTAAATATAATACTAAGGTACGCGGACATAACTCAGCATTATTTTTATTTACTCCCTTGTTTTTATTTTTATTTCTCTCTCTCTCTCTCT